ATTTATATGAATGATCATTTTTTAACTTTTAAATTTTATAAATTAATATATTTTTTTTTGAAAAAATAAAAGATAAAAGAAAAATTACAGATGAATTAATTGATGATAACAAAAGTAATAAAAAAAGTAGATTATCTGATAATGGTAAATTTGCTTTATTTAAATTATTTATTTCTATACAGTATATTAGAATTATGCGAAATCTCTATATAAATAATGATAAGAGAAAAATGTGTTCCTAGAATATTAATATATAATCTAAGACTATTCTGTAATTATTAGATTACATGACAAAAGAATTGAATATAGATATTAATTCGAATATTGTGAATATTAATGAATCTAATAAAGGTAATCTGATTATTTAAATGTACATATTAATTATATATTATTACTAATTCGTATGTTTTTAGAATATTTAACCAGGGAAATTGATCTCGATATTAATACGTTGGAATTTATGGGCTGTAATGCTTTGCATCAAAAATTTTCTTGATGTGGCCTATATTATTTTTAAATTTCATAAAAACAGACAGATAAAAACTAAACATAATGTTAAAATAAGTACAGAAGTTACTTTCTTATCATTTCTGTCAATTGTTCAATTAATGCAGCACAATAATTTTAGTGTGTCTATTATTAATAATACACAATAAATACACATACATATAGACAATTCTTCAATTTTATAAAAAACGGGTATTTTTAATTATTAACGACTCAAAAAAGGCGGTAGCATGTATGCCGCGTTTATACATGACAGTAAATAGAAGCAATTACTTTATTTCTAAGAAATTTCTATTAAATAAGAAACTCTTCAAAATGGCAATCCTTATAGTTATAGGTTTATTCAGCAAGTAGCATTAGGGAACAGTGCAGTACGGTACAACTCAAATTTCGCGAAAAGTACTGATCTGAGAGTTCAGTAGTTAATGTCAAGTTTATACATGGACACCTATTGTGAAGAAAATACGAAGAAAACATAATACTTTCTTTTTAAAAAAAAATAAATTTGTAACACAACCATTATAAAAATGACGAACTTTGTCTTTTATAACAGGTTCAATTTCACATGAAACTAACTAATAAATATACATTATATTTCAAATAAAACGAACAATACAATTTAACTAACATACACACGAATAAAATATTTTATCTTTCAATAGCTACTTTTAACAGAAATCTGAGCAAATGACTTCTTCATTTATTCTAAACTATTTATATACAAGATATATATAGTTTAACGTTAATAAATTTATCAAGATACAGATATTGTAATTATTTGAAATTTATATTTATTTATTTATTTTGCTTATATTATTTGTTTCGCTTACTTTTCTACTTTTTTCTTCGCATATATTTTCCAACATAATCTGGGTTAAATACAAAAATTACAAACGACAGACACGCTGCACGAATAATGACCGGATATCGAAATTTTGTGATGAATATTCGCTGAATCCGAGACCGGGACCGTTGACCGATCGTAATGATCCTTCCATTTTATAGAAAAAAACAACTTGAGAAAGGTTTTGAACCAAATTATTTAAGATCAAAATCAAGCCACAAAATGATAGTAATGTAACTTTAGAATCTTCCGATTCTTCAAATTTTTGTTTCTTTAGATCTACAAGATATTTTATCACCATTTCTGTTGTTCATTTATTTGTTTTATATTTTATATTTTTTAAGTTCCTCGTAATTTTTTCGCTCTTACAGTACTTTTCTTTTGAACTTTTTTGAATTTCAGCGAGTTATTTTATGGATTTTGTAAACAAAAATAAAAAAAAATTGGTTCTAGAAAGAAATATTTGAATGATTTTAAAAAAAAAAAAATTGAAAAATTTGCCATTTATATAAAGAACTGAGCGTAATACGACATAATTATTATAAATTTTTTTTCGTTAGATAAATATTACGTAGTCTAAAAAAATCATTTGCAAAGTTAATCAGATTTTTTTCAATATATTGATTGTTTAAAAATATTTTCTTATCTATTATTAAGAATTAAAGATACCAATAAAAGTAAAGCAAACAAATAAAATGTTTTACAGATAGAGATAAGCAAAAAATTAAAGATTTTAACATTTAAGGAACTAAAGATAAAACTAAAGTAATTAATGACAAATGAAATTAATTAAAAATACTTTACTATTCAAATAATTGAAATAAAGTCAAATATTATTATAAATATTAATAGTTATACAAAAAAAAAGGAAATAGTAAAAAAAAAATAAGTTAATTTATTCTGAGATAGAAATAATTAAAAGTCATTCTCTTTAAATTAAAAAGCCGTTATAATAAGTAGTATTATACGATAAGAAATTATTAATCAACTGCAGAATCTTTTTATATTCATTAAATTTTGATTCAATCTTGTGTGAAACGCAAGTGGTAAGCAATTCTTCGTGCTATAGTTGTCATAAAAATTTTCGTGATACATCGATAGTTCATTACTTTATTAGATCTATTATCGTGCTTATCCATATGATGTAGACGATCTTGTTTTTTAATGAATATTAGGCATACAATAACGTTAATTTATTTTAAGCAAATAAATAATACAATAAATAATACTTACCGTTACCGTATTATTAATTTAGGTAACTTGTTTCTATTTTCAATAATATAAGCGCAAAGATAGTAATTATGGAATATTTTTTTAACTGTAAAAGTTTTCAAAGATCCCATCGCTCACTTTTAGTTTAGATTTTAAATTTTTTGTCATTGAATTATAATATTTTAGGAACTAAAGATAAAAGGAGGCTAATTAATAAATATCTCAAAAAAGAATTTTCTAGCAAGTGTTTAGATAATTTATTTTTTTCACTTTCGTGATATCAATTCAATTATGTGGAATACCAATTACCATCTTTCGCAAATTTATTTTTTTTTATTTTTTTTTTTAATTTCGGACTTTTTTTTTAATTTAAGTTTAAGTTTTTTTTAATTATCATTTAGTATCTAAGTGGTTGACAAAAGGATATATTTTATTGTTGCAGTATTAATGGTTGTACTTTCATCACATATTTCTCAAAAAAATTTAGGATAATAAAATAATCAAAATAATCGAAGATAAATTACCAATAAAAGTCGTTACATCTTGAAAATTTGTTAATTGAGGAGGCATTAAATCTTGCTTTTTTGTTGAATAAAGCAATTATATTTCTATAAACATATAAATAAGTTCAAAAGATTTATTTCCAATAAGATTTTTATAAGTATAATTCGTCTAAATATAAAAATTTGCTAAATGGTACCTTTTTTTCGTGGTTCATAAAAAGTGGGTCTTCCATCTAATATACGAATACGACCACTCGAATTCAAATTTTTATAAATTTTATGCTAGACATCTAATAGGAGCGCATCCTATCGCCAAGAATATGATGAACTTTCTCTTCATAATTTTAAGTTAACATCATAAAATCAAACGATAATATCGTTATTGTGCTTGCGTTGATAAATAATCAAAATTATTGTGATAATCGGTCAGATTTAGCCTCTAACGTAAATCTGCTGATCGTCATTACGAATTGGACAATAATTTTGATATTAATCGTTGCAAAGCACAATAACTTTATAATTATGTCAAATCAGTGTTACACATTCACTTTCTATAAGAATACAATGAGAATTTGACACGAAATTTAATAAATACGTACCCGCTGCCACCTCAGTAGATTTTCAATAAAATATTTAAGAGAACATTTCTGAATATAGTTGTGGGTAAAACTTATTAAGCAAAAGGCAAAAGTCGAAGTCTTATTTTAATATATATATCTTTTAAAATATTTTACAGATTATATTATAGTCTCAACTTTAATAGCTTATTTCTGGAAAATTAACTATTCTTATTTTTTTTTTTTTTTTTGAAAATACTAAAAATATTATTTCTGCACACGAGATAGAGATTATGGTGAATTTTATCAATTTTAGAGCGAAAATTGCATAGGAACTTAAGTCAGACTCGGGAAGAAGATGGTCGTCAACGACATCGGGATGCACGAAACCTTGGCGATTGACGCGATTTTCAGAGAAAACACTACGCTTTCGTTCACGGATGTTCTCAAATGCTCCTCACGTTGCTCAATATTTTCATTGTTATAATAATTTAATAAATTCATATAGAAAATAATGTAATATCAGCTTCGTTAGATATAATTTACTAGCATAAAATTCATATTTTAATTATTTGTATAAATCATATCTAAATTGAATATATAAGGTGTTGTATATTTATTTCATTACTTCGTTAAGAAAGTAATTTATGCAGCTGACTAAAAAATTCATAAATTCAAAATACTTAATGCATATTGACAAATTTACCTATAATCCTCTACAATATTATTATTATAAATATATTTACTAGTTATTTTGTTAAATATTCTTTCTTTTATATAATTGTAATTTAACTGTCTGTTATTAACCGTTTCTAACTTTTCTAATATTTTATTTATTTAATTAAATTAAGAGATTATTTATTTATTTGGTTTCAGTTCAATTCCAGGTTATCAACTGACAGCAACCGAAATAAAATATATTAAGGATTTATTTTGCCAGATAATTAGTATATTCTTTACTATAGTTTCTTTCAAAAATTTGTTACAAATTTTTTTTTTTTTAAAAAAAAACAAAAAAACTGACAAAGGGCCGGAGAATCTGGCGGTACTAATAACCTCGCTCTTTATCTTGATAACCCTGCCATTCACGTATGTTAATATTTTTTTTAGATAATTTATTATCAAAATTAAGTGACAAGTTATTATTATAGCTTAAAGCTTAATTGTATGAAAACTTATATTCCATATATATTATTTCGCTGTTCTGATTCGCAAATGTGGTTCACTAATATTACCAAAATTTAAATATTTATGAAACGAATCAAATAGTTATTTTTTTTAAAGAATAATAATAAAAGCTTTATTTTATATTAAAATATAAAACTTTTTATTTAATTTTTCATTACCCTTCAAATATCAAGATTAAAACGATCTAAAAAAAGAATTTACGCTGCATGAATTATTAAGAATACATAAATTGGAATTATCGTAGCAATATGAAATAAAAGAAATATAAATATATAAGGGTTTAGTAAAAAATCAAATTTAATCAAGAACTTTTTGATGGTCATACCTTTTTTTTGCAAGATTTTCCAAATTTGTAGTTATTTAGCTGTATAATATACACCGTCAGGATAAAAGTATCCGGACACCTTCAAAATTTACTAATAAAATATATCGAAAATCAAATTTCTAGTGATCAACAAATATCACATGTAATTTTATGAAAATAGATGAAATATACAAACTTTCTATGATTAAAATGAACTTTTTTTTATTAATAAATTTTATATTCCATGCACATAATACTACTAAAACTTCTCTATGTCAATAATTTAAAATTTATTAATACTTTTATAGAATATTTAGTCGATAAGCTTTAAAACCAATAAATTTTATTCAATTATATAATAAAATATAGTGATACATAGTTACAAAAAAGTTTATTTTTCATAAATTTTATTAATAAATTTCGAAAGTGTCCGGCCTGTGTATATAAACAACAAACATAAAGATGAAATAATTACATAAAGCGAAAAATGTTCGTAAAAATAAAAAAAGATGGTTTAATTAAAAAATGAATGCAAAGCCAAATAAAAGCATAAAAAATAATTACAAAAAAAAAAGTTCATCAGGATAATTTCTATATCCAATAGATATATTCTAAAGATTATGAATTTTGTCGTATTTACTCGATACAGATCTTTGTTGGCTTGGTATCTGTAAACTTAAATGATTGACTTTTAATTCAATCCGTCGAATTAAATACAAGACAATATGACAATCACGCCTATATGAAGACACGACAAAAAGCAATATTAAATGAATTTAAAGATTCCTTTATTGAACTCTTGGTTTATCCTAAAACCCTATCTCGAGTTACATTTCAACTCAAGGAAAAATACAAGATATTTATACAAAATAAAATACTATAAAATATATGATAACAAATATAATATAAAGATAAAATAAATAGATAAGTTAAATATAACTACTCTACTAACTATAATATAATTAGCAAGTATAACGGTTATAATAATTATAACTAATCTATCTAATATATTAAATAGATCAACGATGACCACTTTAGCAACTTGGCCTAATTTGTCCACTTCGTCAACTTTGTTAATCATTTTGATCACATGACTAATTAAGGCGCAGTCACGGATCACGGCTTTATCATCACACAAACTAACGTGTAAATGCATCAAAAACTCGTTAATTTTGTTCTGTACATTCTTTTGCATCAGATGTCGACGTTGATAGTTTAAGTGAATTTCCGAATAAATTTATGAAGGCAAGGCGTACAAAAGCTTCCACATAAATTCTGGAGTATAATGGTTTGAGAATTCGAAGTATTAATTAAAATTCTCAATTTTATAAAGCAATCTGTAGTTTATTGTCAGTAGATTTATTATAATAAAGAATCTAATGTATTTATTATTATTTTTACCTAATAAAAAATAATTTTCACATGTATAAAAATTCATTATTTGCATTAATGTGAAACCTAGCCTAGCACCATTTAACAACTTTGTAGAATTTATGCAATTCGAACTTGAGATTGAACAAAATAATCAAGTTCTTCAATACGTGTTCGTCGAACATTACCTCAATAATTTGTAGTGCAAATAGGGATATAAAATTAAATAACGCTTCGAATTTTTAGTTTAAGAACTTTTAATATTAAGTATTAGAATAAAACTAAAGTGTATTGTTTTAAATTAAATGTTATTAGATTAAAATTCAATCAAATCCTAACTATTTCCAAACCTGTGATTATTTAACCAAAACAAAAATCTGCATAGCAAGAAACTTCTTTCTCCATTTTAAATTAAAAATTGGCATCAATTTTTCAAAAATGAATTGCTTCAAAATGTTTGTGTAAAGTTCATATGCGATTTTAAATTATGAATTTCTTAATAAATTTTTATAAATCATACAATGCAAACAAACACAAACTTAATATTTGAAAAAAAATGTGAGATTTATATTTATAAGCTCAATTTGCACACTAGTTTCTTTATATAATCTTTTTTATTAGTTCGTATATATAAAGAGAATTAAAAAAAAATAAAAATTAATATATACAATATATGCTTATTTTTAAAAATAAAAAGTTCCGAGAAAATAAATTCGCATTTTCAAAGTTTATAGTATAAAATTACCATTAAAACAAACATAAAAAATTTAATCGCATATAGCCCAGGAAATTTCGTTAAAATAAATTTGATTTATATCTATGCTTTGTAAATATTAGACAGTTTTTAAGTTATCGATAATGCAAATAAATAAGTTTTACCAAAAGTCTTTAAATTTATAAAAACGAAAATTCAAAAATTAAAATTTACAATATTAACTGAATGATTACGTTGTTTTAAAAATACTTCTTAGTGATGAGCAAATTTAACTTGTAGATTTAAATAACTATACTAGAGTTTGCGATTTGCGGGGAGACATCGTCCCGTTTAGCATTATGTGATTGATTGCGTAATCAGTTCAATTAAGCTTTATAATAAATAAAATTAAAAAACCAAATTTTTTGAAAAAATTTAATTGTCTTGATAAATAAAAAAAATAAGTTTAATTTATATTAATTTTAATTAATATTCTAATTTAATTTTTCTTCTATTTTAATTTTTTTTTTAATTATTTTTATTAATTTTTATTTTAATTTGTATTTTAGTTTAATAATTGATTTTTTTGATTTCCAGATTTAACTATTTTCGGTTATACATTTTTTTAATAATTTATTTATTTATTGTAGCAGTATTTAAATTATTTTTTTTTAATCTTTGAATACGCGCATTCTTTTTTAATTTATTAATTTTAATTGAATTTATTTTTTATTTTCGTCAGTTTATTTTGATATTTAATTTTTTCTGAATTTATTTTTTTAAAATACAAAAAAATGTGACGCAAATTATAATTTTCAAGCTAAAAATATTAATTTGTAATACATTTTAATACAAATACTGTATAAAGAAATGAAATAAAAGACAATATTTTCAAAAAAAAAAAAAATAATACTGTAAGGATCGACAAAGATTAACGAAATAAATAAAAATTTTATTTAAAATAACACAAAAGTGCCACTGGAAAGCTTAAATCACGAATTTATTCTAATGTTAATATAACAGCTGCTGCTGTAACTATAGCTGTAGCTTATAAAACAGCTATATAAACTTTCAATACCAAAATCAGTCAACCAAGGAATAAATTAAGCGAAAAAAGTGAATAGGTGCAGAAATGATCAAAAATTCACGTAGTCGTAAAAAATATACCTTCACCAGCTATACTTAGTTACTTTTAGTATACGCTATAAATTAACTTTGACAAGATAGGTACAAAAGAGAAAATTAAATTTTTTTACAATTATATTTTTTATCAGCATAATTTAAAGTGTGGTATCTTTGCATAAGGTTTATTTAAAAGTCCAACTACTAAAACTTATTGACTTTATTTTAATTTGGAATTATATGAGCAATTTTTTTGTCTGACACAAAGACAATATTTTAAAAAATGTACTGTACTGTAAATAACGAGTTTTCTTTAAATATTTTAATATTAAGCTGAAATTTCACAAACTTCTACATTATTTTAGATGGCTAGTTATATGAAATTTTATAAGGAAGAATTTGATAAACTCTTGAAATGCTTCTTGAATCATACATAAAGGCCAAATAATTTGTTACATTTGCTTGCTTTGCTGAAAGGTAAAGTATGACAAAAAGTTTTTAAAAATAGTATAAAAATTGATATGATATTTCACAAGACTTTTCATATATTTTTACTAGATTAAAATTCATCACGGAAGTTATAGAGACGAGATGCTCTGTTCCGCCATGCTAAGCGAAATATGCAAGTAGTAGTATAAGTAGTTTATTTTCTTTAATAAAATTACCAATATGACATTTATTTATAATATTTGTATATTTAATTTAGGAAAGTCAAACCTTTCGGTTTATTTAATGTATCAAATTCTTGGTAAAGATAGATTAAAGCTGGCTTCAAACGTTTATTTATATGTTAAGTTGAAATTTTGAGATTATTTCTGAAAAAAAAAAATTATTTATTTCTACCATTTAGCATTACTTAAATTAGGATATTATGAAATATATAATTTAAAAAAAATTATCTTTTATCCTTCACAAACTTACTAAGATGATGTCATAACAAGTAAGTTTAATAATTATTATTTTTTTTAATAATGAAATTAAATAAATAATAAATTATTGTTTAGATAAAATGCTATTTACATATTTCAGATTATACGAAGCCACATTAGTTTTTCTCAACTTTGATTATAATATCATAATACTCGTCATCCATCTTGACTTAGGCCGTATGGAGATAGGCGGTTTGTGTTCAGGTTACGCGTAAACAAAATTTGTGGTCAAGCGTTATGATCGCTCATTAATAATTGATAGGTCAAGCATCATGGCTGTAGTACACAAGCATTATAATTATGCAAACATAAAATTGTGGGGTCAAACTCTCGATCATAAATGTATTTTAAGTCACGAAATGCCTTGTATGCAGTAGGGATCATAATAACCGGCAAGGGAGAAGATTATTATTACGAGTATAACCGTTTGGGAAAGAATAGTAATTCTTGCGCCAATTTATAAATTATTCTATATGTGTCAGTATTAGATTCTTGTAGAAACCTTTACGCCTTGTTTCGATTTTATTGGACTTGAATTGTCCAATCACAATTTATTACATATTCTATCAATTATGCTAATTCGGAGGTTATGTTAACTTTGATGAGATAGAATAATTCCAATTGATAAAATTATCATAAAAAATATTAAGTATACAAAATACATTTTCTTTTTTACCATTATTGTTATTAGATTACGATTTAATGTGCTTAGTGTTAGGAAATTATCGTAAATTATTCATAATTTATTTTAAACAATGATATTAATATAAGAACATTTAAGGAAAATATCCTAAATTTAAATAATAAAAGCTTTATTTTTTCGTATTAGATTTGTAAAAGGAAAAGGAGATGGACTGGACTGGTTAGTTGATTTTCCTAAATATAAAATAGCTGTACATTTAATTGAGTAAGGAGCAATGTTTTGCATCAATAATCCGCTTCAA